TTTATACACTCCTTTATTCTGTCTTGAGTATTTTCAGATACTGGTTGCATTAGTCTAAAGTCACACCAAGGTATGTCAGGGTGGGAACGTGTTCTATCTACTGGCCGCAGAAATCTTCTTGGAGTTCCATCTTAGCCTTTTGATAATTTAGAAAAAACACTGACACAGTAGTCTTAGAGGGGTTTGGTTTTAGCTTCCAGTATAAACACTCCTTTATTCTGTCTTGAGTATTTTCAGATACTGGTTGCATTAGTCTAAAGTCACACCAAGGTATGTCAGGGTGGGAACGTGTTCTATCTACTGGCCGCAGAAATCTTCTTGGAGTTCCATCTTAGCCTTTTGATAATTTAGAAAAAACACTGACACAGTAGTCTTAGAGGGGTTTGGTTTTAGCTTCCAGTATAAATATATTCTTCCATGATTCTGAGGTGACGCACTAAATATCCTAGATCAGGGATCGACAACCTTTTCAAACCAAAGAGCCAAACTACATCAAAATTCAGAACAAGTGATCAGCAAAGAGCCGTATAAGAATGCCCATTTGCAAGACTGAAAATATACAACTTCATATAATTGATAGTTGGCATAATGATTACTAATAGCATAAATGAAATGTACTCACATAATTTACTGGGACTTCTGCTGCTGCATCTTTTTGTACATTTCTTTGAAGTTTACATCATAACTGGTCAAATCCAGCTTCATGCACACATCCAGGCTGTCTTCTGTCAATATTATGGCAGGGGGTTGAGGATGTGGCGGTGCAGGAGTCTGGGTTGGGGCGTTTGAGGGGCTCAGGGCAGGGGCTTTGGGTATTTGATGGGCTTGGCACAGGTTTGGCGGATGTGGGTGGTGCAAGAGTGTTATGGCAGGGGACTGGAGATGTGGGTGTACAGGAGTTTGGGGATGTGGAGGTATGAGGGACTCAGGACAGGGAGGTTCGCATGTATGACGGGGTCAGGGTTGAGGTATATATGGGGGGTGCAGAAGTGTCACGATGCTGCGGCCATATTGAAGCTGGGTCCCAATTGGGGGCTTGTTGGCCAGGCTTCATTTTTAAATAAAGTAAAATATTATGTCTAACACAAAAGGTTTCAACATTGTCTTTATTTGTGGCACGGGTGGGGAATCTTTTTTAGGTCTGGGGCCATTGTCCCACAGAAAAATCAGTTGGGGACCACACGAGTGAGAAGCAAAGAAACCCTTCCAAAACCCCCCAGCCCTCACTGATGTGGACCCCAACTGAGACACCTCAGTCCCCTGGTGCTCCAACCCCATGGTGGGGGGAAGGCAGGGAGGACTGAGGTTCAAGACCTTAGGCCAAATTTACACTTCTGGGGCTCCAGGGTTAGTGGATTTTGTCCCCCCTGGGGCTAAAAATGAGGGGTTAAGTGTGTGGGACAGGGATGCCAATGAATAGGATAGGGATGGGAGTGCAGGATCTGGGCAGGGTGTGCGGTGCAGGGTGGGGTGAGGGTGCGAGGTCTGGGTGGGAGATAGGGTACAGGAGCAGGCTGGCAGTAGGGTGTCTGGCCGGGGGCAGGAGTGGGATGCGGGGTCTGGGCATGAGGGTTGAGGGGGCCACTTACTTGCTTTCACGCCGTGTGTAACACAGCCTCCAGCTGCTCCCATTCACCAGGAAGGATTCGCAGGGGAAGCCTCCAGGAAGTGTGCCCCTGGGGGAATGAAAAGAGCAGCACACAGAGACATTTTTTGGTTCCTGGGGGAAGGAAAAGGGCGGCACACAGAGACAAAAATGACGGAGCATGCCACTGCAGTGATGGAGCATGTTCACTGCATGCCAGATCCTGCAGGGAGGCTCAGGGCTTTCTCTCCCTGCCAGAAGCTGGTGCTGGAGTTTGTCTTGTAAGGAGCTGTAAGGCTGTAGTGACAGCGCTGGCTCCCTGCTGTGGGGAGAGTTAGAGGGGGCTGAGTTGGGGCTCCAGAACAGCCATATCTGGCCCCCTACTGAGCCATAGCTTGCTGACCCCTGTCCTAGATGATATTTTCAAAAAGCATTTAAATGACTTGACTTTCAGTGAGGCTTAAGTGTTTCTGAAAGTGTTGGCCACTGTATATGAAAACTGACTTTTAACAGTTTAATCATTACATAACTATAAATTTCCTGCCCTGGACACATTATCCCACTATGGGTGAAACTTAAAAAAAGTACAGCCTGCTAAATTATCCATAACAACGTGGACATGAAGAAAAGAATTGCAGTTGTTGTCATCATCTTGTATCAGTTTCATGGCCAGTATTGCAAAGTGTAAGCAGGAGTAATGACTATGAGCCAGATTTATGAACCATGTACTCAGAAATCCTGTAGTTTTATTATCACTGCCATAGTCTTTGCCTTCTGTAGAGCACTGCCGCAGAGCTCAGTTCTGTGAAGCAGAATGTCCAATTTTTTTTTTTTTGCATGACCTCTCATTGACTCACTCTTTGTCCAGTGGAAGCAACATAGTTTTGCTGCACATGGGGCCTTCAGCAGTCCTTCTGAGGAAGACAGATTGTCTGGCATAATGCAGAAAAGGATACAATTCAATTAATTTAAAAAATGGCATAGGCTACAGATAATACATATGCCTAGTTGTGAGCAAGATAACATTGCTAGAGGAACCTTAACTTTTTCAAACTTAATGAAAAGATCTTGATAAACTTTTGGGAAAAAAAACTTAAATGAATTCACAGATTCTAAACCTAGGTTTCTAGTTAATGCCTAGGTTTCTAGTTAATGTACTTACAATATGGAGGAAAAATACAACTTGAATTATACCTTTTATTTTGCTGAAATAGCAGTAATTGGTTGATAATACCAAACAAATCTTTTATATATTGGTTACAGCTGATGATAAAGCATGGCAGTGGTAGTAAGTCTTAACAGGTCAACCCCAGTTTCCTACTCTCTACCTGATTCTTGGCAAATAACACAAAGAAGATGGGTAAGAAGTCAGTGAACAAGTTTTGTATAGAATAAGGAAAGCAACAGCCATTATAAAGAAGCTATACTGTGTCATATACAGTAAGGCCAACGACAAAACTGAGTCCATCTTTCAATTGTGTGTCATAGAAACTGCTATTCCAAATACACCAACAGAAGCAAAATACAGAGGTTACAAAACACAAGAGCTTCTGCAACCAATGTATCACATGTGGAAAGCTGTAGTTTTCTTTATTAAAAACACCAAGGTCCATAATGTAAGACAGTCCAGTTTTGTGAACCTTTTAAGTGGAGATGTTGCATATTTTGACAAGACATGCACCATAAACAGAAACTCATCTCTATAACTACATTCACGGGAAGAGAACAGATAATGAGGGGAGGTGTATTTGACCATAAAATGAGTTATATTCCTTTTATGAGGTCTGTAATGAAGAAGAGAGTGGGCACCAAAATTACTGATACAGCAATGCATTGGCTTCAAAATGAGCTTCATACTGCTGATGTCAGAGGTATAGTGCCATTAGTGCAATCACGCAAAGGAAACTAGCACTGAAATTCCACATTCGTACATCAGTCATAGCTCAAACTATCAGACATAGATCAAACTAGGACAAACTCCAAGCTCATGCTGGAGACTTACTTCTCTTCTTTTCATTGTCTGATTGGTCTCCGGCTGAAAGACAAACAGTCTTCATTCCAGCCAAGTATAAATGCATATCCATCTCATAAATGATTCCTGCTAAGATATAGAGATGACTGACCCATTCCCCATCCCCAAGGAGATGTATTTCTGTCACTGGTACATGTTGCATTAAAAATTCCAGGAGATACTGGCCCCAAAGGTTTGGGGATCAGTGAGGTTGATGTGTCTGCTTGCATTTCAGATAGCTGACACATGTTCCTCCAGTACTATATGAAGACAAAGTTAAGGAGAACTCTAAGAAACAAGAATCAGTTAAATTAAAGGTGCTTAGCATAGCTCAAGATTTTGGATACAATGTGAATATTGGAAAGAAATGAACACTAAAATATATTGATCTTGGATGAACCTTCCATCAGACAACAAGGTTCAACTTTTTCATTTTTATAAGGCTAGCCACTGCATTAGTCATGAAGGAATCCTAAAGTTGGGCACAGTGTGATGGGTTCGATCACTGGGGTCCTCTTGAGATTGTCACCCACTGTGCTAGTCTTACCACTGAACCTGCTTTTTTGCCCTCTGGCACACACCCCCTCCCCTCCCCGCCCACCTTGTCTTGCTGGGCCAGAAGTTATGGTCTCCCACAGGCAAGGCACAAA